TGGCGCACCCCCAATCCCCACTTCAAAAAAAAAATGCAACAAAGCTTTGTTTTATCGCTTTTGTTTTATAAAGACGCATGTTTAAACATGCGCTAATAACCAGAACACTCATGACAATAACAACATCAACAAAGTTTCAATATAATGCAACAAAGCTACGCACAAGTTTTCACTTTTAACCCTTTCACACGTAAGTTTAAAATATTTTAACTGACCCCACAGCGTGAGTTTTTCAAGGCGACCGTTATTTAGAACTTGTCACTTTAATGTTTCCATGGTGACGCGTCATTCCTTGTCACGTGATACAGCGCAACCACAACACAGCGCTGAATGAATGATGTTCTGCTTTTATGTCATTTTTCCTTTTTATCAAAAATATTCACAAATGTATTAGCTATAGCATTAAACACTGAGATTCCGATTGTCAAATATGTGCAAGTGGATGTGTTTTATTGTTCAAACGCCTTCATAACGATCGTTAGTTTGTGCCACAGTTCAGAGAATCTAATCTGTTGGATTTACAACACGTGACGTCAATTCCTCCACTTCTCACGAAATACATGAAAGTAAGAGGCCGGTGAACTGGGAGAAGAATAGGGTAAAATGTGAAGCTACGTACACAATGTGTATCTGATATGAATACAACGTGTCGTCTTATTATAATGAAAAGGATTAATATTGCCGCTTCCATAGAAATCAGCAAAATCAAAATCATTGTTTTGCTAGTACTTATGTGTATTTAAATGTCTGAAACCTAAAATAAACATTACGTGGTTGAAAACACTCAATGGTTGTGATATATGACAGCACTGGCTCAGCGCCAGCCAACACGCGAAAGCACATTTGTCACGTTACCGGCTGCAGTGCAGAGTAGTGCGTAGAAGACAGCAGCTGTTTTCAACGTTTCTATCAAAAACTAATAAATTATAGTTTTTTTAATTTAAAATAAAAGCGATTACAAAGGAAATGTTTACTGTTCATGGTTTTTATTTTATTGTATGGCAAAAAATCCCACTTACAAAACAGACCGCCATTACATTTTTCCTCTCGCGCACCCCCTGGTGGCAGCTCGCGTACCCCTGGGGGTGCGCGTACCACACTTTGGGAATCCCTGGACTAGTCTATGAGAACATTTTAGACTTGTCAGGCTTTTTTTGGCTCATTTAGTATGAAAGAGTGAGAATATGGAGGAACAAACAGCTCAATTTTATTCAGAGACTAAAAATATGCAATTTTGTGCAGATTCTAAAATATTTATATGGATAAAAAGGGATAAAATTCTGATGCTTGTAATGTACATCAATTAGTATAACAGATACTGACATAAAATGCATATACACTCACCTAAAGGATTATTAGGAACACCTGTTCAATTTCTCATTAATGCAATTATCTAATCAACCAATCACATGGCAGTTGCTTCAATGCATTTAGGGGTGTGGTCCTGGTCAAGACAATCTCCTGAACTCCAAACTGAATGTCAGAATGGGAAAGAAAGGTGATTTAAGCAATTTTGAGCGTGGCATGGTTGTTGGTGCCAGACGGGCCGGTCTGAGTATTTCACAATCTGCTCAGTTACTGGGATTTTCACACACAACCATTTCTAGGGTTTACAAAGAATGGTGTGAAAAGGGAAAAACATCCAGTATGCGGCAGTCCTGTGGGAGAAAATGCCTTGTTGATGCTAGAGGTCAGAGGAGAATGGGCCGACTGATTCAAGCTGATAGAAGAGCAACTTTGACTGAAATAACCACTCGTTACAACCGAGGTATGCAGCAAAGCATTTGTGAAGCCACAACACGCACAACCTTGAGGCGGATGGGCTACAACAGCAGAAGACCCCACCGGGTACCACTCATCTCCACTACAAATAGGAAAAAGAGGCGACAATTTGCAAGAGCTCACCAAAATTGAACAGTTGAAGACTGGAAAAATGTTGCCTGGTCTGATGAGTCTCGATTTCTGTTGAGACATTCAGATGTTAGAGTCAGAATTTGGCGTAAACAGAATGAGAACATGGATCCATCATGCCTTGTTACCACTGTGCAGGCTGGTGGTGGTGGTGTAATGGTGTGGGGGATGTTTTCCTGGCACACTTTAGGCCCCTTAGTGCCAATTGGGCATCGTTTAAATGCCACGGCCTACCTGAGCATTGTTTCTGACGATGTCCATCCCTTTATGGCCACCATGTACCTATCCTCTGATGGCTACTTCCACCATGTCACAAAGCTCTAATCATTTCAAATTGGTTTCTTGAACATGACAATGAGTTTACTGTACTAAAATGGCCTCCACAGTCACCAGATCTCAACCCAATAGAGCATCTTTGGGATGTGGTGGAACGGGAGCTTAGTGCCCTGGATGTGCATCCCACAAATCTCCATCAACTGCAAGATGCTATCCTATCAATATGGGCCAACATTTCTAAAGAATGCTTTCAGCACCTTGTTGAATCAATGCCACGTAGAATTAAGGCAGTTCTGAAGGCGAAAGGGGGTCAAACACAGTATTAGTATGGTGTTCCTAATAATCCTTTAGGTGAGTGTAAATATCAATATCTGCACAATAATATGTCTTAAGATTATATTTAAATGCTTAATTTTATGTTCAAAGCTCTGTAATTTTAAAACATATAATGCAATACAATGATGATTGAGAGAGGAACAAATAAACCTTCCTCAAAAAGCCTAATGATCATATTTGATACTCGTGATTTCTCTAATAACTGATGTTTGGATAATCAAGTAAACAGAAGTTGCTTCAGTCCAGTAAGTGTTCATCTTCTGCATCTTAAGCGTTTTTCTTATGTTTACTTGATAAAATCAGTGCAGATTTGACAGCAGAAAGACACGTGAAGCTCGAGCTGAAGGAGGACGTTTGTACAATTATACTAAAGGACTTTTACTTGATAAAAGAGTCTAAACGATCAATCAGACGAGGGAAGGACTGTAATAGATTGAGTGCGGTAACTTTTTTTCAAAGTTTAGACCATGTTGATCATTTAGAGAGCTTTAAAGGGTTCAATACAGTGTCACTCCTCTTTTTAATCTTTAATCTCATTCTCTTTCCATAACCGCCAGTTTAACACACTACTAACTAACTCAACCAGGCCCCGCCCCTTTATTCTGCGCATGAATTATTATAATGAGGAATATTGTGACGTGTTCGTTCCCGGAAGAAACTCAAGACTACAATGGAGGCGTTTCAGGAGTTCAGAAACACAGACACTGATATAGAGAAGAACTACATCAGCAACATCACACTAAAGACAGTGTCCTCTTTAACATGTTCGCTTATTTAAATGTGGTTTCACCCCCAAAACACGGCAGTGTGTGTGAAGAAGCTGCAGTGTGTCCGCTGTCATCATCTATTACTGATGGCAAAATGTCCCTTTCAGCAAAGACCAAAATAAATCTGTCAGTATGAAACCACGTCAAGACAACTAGACTTCAACAGGACAAGTCATTAAAACATGACACAAAATCAGCAGAGAGGCATAATTTAAGAGTTATTAAGAGAATGAAAAACAACATTTCACATTAAAGAGATGAAAACTCACAGAAAAGAAGAATCAGAAAATCTTCTATGCGATTAAATTGAGGATAAATAGAGATTGGTGCTTAGGTCTGAAACTATTTGCTGAGATATCCAAGCAATCTGCAATCAAAAGTCAGAGATCTCAATATGAACTTGTCAAAGTGAGCTGTTATCCACATTATTGTTATGCTCACCAAGGCTGCATTTATTTGATACAAAATACAGTAAAAAAAAATATTATTTCAGCATCATTACTCCAGTCTTCAGCGTCACACGATCCTTCAGAAATCACTCTAATATGAGGATCTGATGATCAAGAAACATTTATGATTATTATCAATGTTGAAAACAGATTCATTTTTTTGTGGAAACCATAATAAACCATTGAAAAGTTTGAGTAAGTTAACTTATTCAACAAGGACACATTAAATAGATGAATAGTGACAGTAAAAAGATCCTATTTCAAATAAATGCTGTTCTTTTGAACTTTCTATTAATCAAAGAATCCTGAAAAAATGTATATGTAAATGTATATATTCACATAGAAAACAGCTGATTTACATTCTAATTATATTTTACTGTTTTACTGTATTTTTGATCAAATAAATGCATCTTTGGTGAGCAGAAGACGCCTTCAAAAACATAAAAAATCGTAATTATTCCAAAATGTTGACAGCAACTCTCACAGTATGCAAACTACTGAAATTCGAAACATTTGAATATCGTGCTATTTATTTCAGTAATTCAACTTAAAAGCTGAAACTAATATATTATATAGACTCATTACATGCAAAGTGAGATATTTCAAGCCTTTATTTGTTATAATTGTGATGATTATGGATTACAGATATGAAAACCTTTTCACAATATTCTAATTTTGAATTTGGGGTTTTCATAAGCTGTACGCCATAATCATCACAATTATAACAAATAAAGGCTTGAAATATCTCACTTTGCATGTAATGAGTCTATATAATATATTAGTTTCAGCTTTTAAGTTGAATTACTGAAATAAATGAACTTTTGCACCATATTCTAATGTTTCGAGTTTCACCTGCAAATGACATTTTTAGGAGAAAAATCTGAGGCCAGGTTAATACTTAATGACATATAATTAAAAACTCATTAGTTTCCTAAGCTATAAAAGAGCAAACTCTGGGAACTCGTTAAACAAGTTAGTTTGCCACAGCCTTATAAGAATAAATGGTAACTCTTTACAATAAGGTTCATTAGTTTACATTAGTTAACTACCTTAGTTAACATGAACTAAAAATAAACTGCACTTCTACAGCATTTATTAATCGTAGTATTAACATTAAGATTAATTAATACTGTAACAAATATTGCTCAGTTCATGTTAGTGAATACATTTACTAATGAACCTTATTGGAAAGTGTTACCGAAGAAATCCACCTTAAAATTGAATATTTAAGATTGCGTAGAGAATGAGAGCGACGGCGTACCAGAAGAAGGCGTACATGACCAGCATGTTCCCGATCACTCCCACGGCCCCGATGATCGCCACGAAGAAAGCCACTATATAGTGTGCATGATCGGGAACGTCCACTTTCCTGAAGAAACCACGATCCATGTTCACCGGCTCCTCCATTCCTGTGACGACACACACACACACACACACACACACACGTTACTCCTGCAAACCTCATCCACATCTCAGAGAGTTTATGAAGGACACTACAGGCAGAAGCTTTGGGTGTGTAAGATTAAAATAAGTCTCTTCTGCTCACCAAGACTGCATTTATCTGATAAAAAAAAATTGTGAAATATTATTAAAATGTTAAACCGCTGTTCTCTATGTGAATATATAGTAAAGTGTAATTTATTCCTGAATTTTCAGCATCATTACTCCAGTCTTCAGTGTCACATGATCCTTCAGAAATCACTCTAATATGATGATCTGATGCTCAAGAAACATTTATGATTATTATCAGTGTTGAAAACTGTTATTTACATTTTTATTTCAGGATTCTTTGATGAATAGAAAGTTCAAAAGAACAGTATTGATCTGAAATAGAAAGTTTTAAGTAACATTAAACACTTCCGTTCAAAAGTTTGGGGTCAGTAAGAATTTTTATTTTATTTTGGGGGGGAAATAAATAAAATAAATCAATACTTTTATACATCAAGGATGAATTAAATAGATCAAAAGTGACAGTAAAGACATTTATATTCTATTTAAAATAAATGCTGCTCTTTTGGACTTTCTATTCATCAAAGAATCCAGAAATAAAAATGTAAATAACTGTTTTCAACACTGATAATAATCATAAATGTTTCTTGAGCATCAGATCATCATATTAGAGTGATTTCTGAAGGATCATGTGACACTGAAGACTGGAGTAATGATGCTTAAAATTCAGGAATAAATTACACTTTACTATATATTCACATAGAAAACAGCTGATTTACATTAGAATAATATTTCACAATATTACTTTTTTTTTTTGTATCAAATAAATGCAGCCTTGGTGACCAAACGAGACTTTTAAAAACATTAAAAATCTTACCGATCCCAAACTTTAGACTGGTAGTGTACGTTCTGACACGTTCTCCAGGAGAACCTCTTCACATAGAATGTGAAAAACACATCTTTGCCGATGCAAAAGCTCGGTTTAATGTGGTTATACCAGTGTTTTTTGCTTTGAGCTCTTATCTGTTGCACAAGCGTCCAAGAACGGTGGTGCATGTGATGCAAGAGGCTTAAGGGAAATAAGAACATGCTCTGTTTGTGCTCTTGACCTTCCTGTTCTGCGACGCCAAACAGAGATTCGCCTCGAGCGCCAGAAATATGGACAAAGCAATAACACATGCTGGAAAAAAATGACTTATTTTTAAAAACATAGCAAATAGCATTGCTTTTGAATCACATGTTGAATGATTTAGCTTTAGGATGGAGGTTCAACAACACAATATTTATCGGTGCACATCGTTATTGTGTTGAATTCATGTTCCTGGTAATGTTGAATCATCATACGTTCCTCTTGCAGCATCTCTTCTCTTCTCTGATGATGTGGGCGGGGCCACCTGTCACTCACATGAGATCAGCCAATAGCAAACCACCACCATCCAATCAATTCCTCACAGACACAATCAAGCCCCGCCCACATGTGTTCTTGTTCCAGAAGCGTTTCACTCGATATACAGAAGAACAATAAGCCTGTCACACTTCCAGAACTTCCGGTCAACAGTATTTCTCCATAAGGATTTAGATTATCAGCCATAATGTCTAAACCATCCGACCACGAGCTATGAGGTTGTGAAACGAAGGTTTTTGCTTCTGTAGAAGGTATAAGTTCGTATGAAATCAACCTTGTTTTAAGAAAAACTTGATTTATTTGCGATTTTATGGGGGGAAAAACTACACTACCCACAATCCTAAGCGTAGCAGCAACGTCTGCTGATTGGTCCGACTCGCTGTTACCATAGAAACGTTTACCTTACTGGCGAACGGCTAGAGCTATAAGATATTATCAAAGAATTTGCTGACTTTCTTTCAGAGTTAGTACTGGCTGCAGATAAAGTCCTAATTGTTGGTGATTTTAATATACATGTAGAAAAAGATGCATTGGGATTGGCATTTAAAGATATTCTTAACTCTATTGGAGTTAGACGGCACGTGTCAGGACCTACTCATTGTCGTAATCATACTCTAGATCTAATATTATTATCACATGGAATCAATGTTGATTCTATTGAAATTCTACAGCAGAGCGACGACATCTCAGATCATTATCTAGTCTCGTGTAAACTTCACTTAGCCAAGGCTGCAAAGTGTTATAAATATGTTAGACCTATCACTTCTGCCACTAAAGATTGCTTTATTAATAATCTTCCTGATCAGTTTCATCATCTCAGCATCCTAGCTTAAAAGAACTCGATATTGCGACAGAAACTTTTAACTCTCTCTTTTCCAGCATCCAACTTCCGTTTCATGACGACTTTAATGTGAAAGTTATAAAACTTTTTCGGGAGGGACATTGTAATCTTTAAAGTTCGTTTAAGAAAACAAAGATTACTGCAGTACGTTTTATAAGAAAATACTATTTCGTTTTTTTTTTTCTTAAAAATTTCACAGCAATAGGTGGCGGCAAACCATTGTCTTAACGAGTGAGTCATTGAATCATTCAGTCAAATGATTCGTTCAAAACCGCTGATTCATTCAGGGACAAAGCAAGCTGCGTTACAGATTACATTCATACTATATAAAACATACTTCTTTAGCGGTCACAAAGTACTTATTCAAAATAAGACGCAGCCCTTCTTTATGAGTGAGTCGTTGAGGCATTGATCAGACGGATTCATTCACAAACACAGATTCACACATCAGTGTTGCTCGAAGACCAGCTATGGTTTATTTTATACTATTTTCGTTGGCAAAATTGAGCAAAACAGACATCGGGCCCTATCTTGCACCCGCCGCAAATGACTTTGTACACTAGCTATGTTTCCATCCACACGTTTTTATCCGCAGTAAGTGATATTGAATGAAAAATGCCTTATGGAAACAGTAAAATTCGATTGAATTTCATGAATATCGACTCAAATGAAATACGATCGGTCTCATCGGATTTTATCTTGATCGATATACGGCTTATGCGATAAACGCGGATGGAAACGTTATTATGGTGCGATCCATTTTGCCTAGTAAAACTTTGTTCGCAAATGTTGGCTTGAATGTTGTGCAATTCGGTGAGAAAATGAATAGAAACACCTTAACATGTCTCAAATCAATTCGATATGCCAATTTGATCGCAAAACAGCATGTGACGTCATTACGCACAGGTTTTTATCCGCTTTAAAGCCGTTTGATGGAAACACACTTTCACCAGCTTTAATCGCATGAGTTTTTTTTACCGAACTTCAGATAATTCGATTGACAAGTGAATGGAAACATGGCTAGTGACGCATGTATCATTCCTATTTTGCACCCACGCAAAGCGAGCTTTTCCCTCCACAGACGCACGGCGGTAAACTAGGGAATGAACTTGCGCTCCCTGGTTGGGTCGGCGCAAAAAGGAGGCGTGTTTCGGCGCAAACATTCCCTAGTGCTATTCTGCAGTTCCAGAAAACAATCGCGCCACTGACCAGAAAAAGCCTAGTCTAAAGTCAGCGGCGCGTCGCGCGTTGTTCATAATGCTATTTTAAGCGCGCATGCTTGGCCATAATGTAGCGGGTGCACAACGCGCACACACTTTGATTCTCTCATCAACACAGATGCAGCAGTTTTTATTTTTGCAAATCATACATTATAGCAAGGAAAAATATTAACACATGAGGGAAATCATTGTGGTGTCCATGAAGATGTAAAAAAAATGTAGATCTAAATCTAGCTTACACATTTACCCACATTTTTCAGGCTAATTGTAGTAATGACGGATCAGACCTGTTTGCCCAATAGTGGCAAGACACATATGTACACTCTAAACGATGCTGGGTTATTTTAACCCAAATTTGGGTCAAATATGGACAAACCCAAATGTTGGGTTAAAAATTTAATTTAAAATTTTAACCCAACTTCAACTTTCACTTTCAACTGTACATTTTTTAATTACATTTTTAACCCAACATTTGGGTTTGTCCATATTTGACCCAAATTTGGGTTAAAACAACCCAGCATCGTTTAGATTGTAGGCTATATAAGGACATCTGACAAATTAGTTTGTCCGTCAAGAACCAGGAAAAATAAAATCTGAAAACTGCGAAATCACCTGGTAAATCCGCCGTTATAATAGCAATCCGCCATGCAACATGCGCCCCTGCTCTTAAAGGGTGTGTTAGATTACGCTCTGATTGGTTTATTTCACGTTACGCCCAAACCACACCTATGAATAATTAAGCTATTTCAGACCAACCCCTTTTAGATTTGCGTCGGGCGCAATAGTCATTTATCCCGCCGGTAAAATAGCAACAGCGCCCAAGACCCGCCCACAAAGTTACTCGCTTGATACTTGCGTTTCAGATCGTTAAAATAGGGCCCAGAGTCTAAAAAGTAAGTCACCTAATATTAACGTCTTGTTTACTGACATCACATTTCCAAACGCGCTGATATTCAGGAAAACAGCACTCTTTCCCGTGTGCTATTGCTTATTATAAGTATTAAAAACCAGAGCTTACACAGAGACATGCTTGGCTGTTTTAACGCCGGCATCCTGCAGTGTTTGAATATATTGAACATTTCTAACTTTCGCTATATGAACTGAAGCCCTTCGAGTGGCTGATAAAGCGTCCCGTGGCTCTGAGTATCGATTAGTTCCCGCTAACGGCTCCTGTCGGAAGGTGTAGAGAACATGTCCTCTAAAAAACCCAGCGCTCAGGTGGACGTCTCTGCGTCATCTCATCACACACACACACACACACACAAATCAGATCTGAGCGAAGCTGAGATACATGCTGTGATCTGAGCATTAGCTTAGCAACATGCTAACACCAAAACCCCATTGATGAAAACGGATATTTTTCCACCTGCCATTAAATGTGTTGTGCAGGAAAGCTTGATAATTGTAATAATTTAAATTGGGCACAGACAGTGACCCTTACGATTAAAGGAAGTAATTAAACCTGCGAGAGAGTGATTAAATGACCCATCTGTGTAGGTGCCATAAGAGGATTTATTTTTTATTTATTTATTTAATGTTAATGTGATCAAAAAACATTCAAGTTAAAGGCTCCTGTTCAGTAAAAGCTGCTTCAAACTCACGGAAAGATGACACTTCACTGTAAACACTTTAAGTCGCACTTAAAAATGTCTGATTTGAATTACATCAAAACAAGTGTCAAGAGCAATTGAGTTCAGATTCACACACTTCATTTAATGCAATTATGTTTTAAAGTGTGAATGAAATACATGTTAAGTGTCAAACCAAACATCAGTAGCCACTCAACGCTCTCAGTATGTGAAGTTTTGGGACAGAAACGGGTTGATCATAAACTCAAAGCATCCAGCTGGATTGAAGATGCTCAAAAAGGTCTAAATATGTTCAAATCTGGGAGATGAAAATAAATTTTTTCCATCTCACGACTTGCGCAAGCCGAAGGCCTCATGCAGACTGGAGCAACAACAGACCGGCGTCACCACAACAAACACAAACAGAAAATAATCAGCTCACAATGATTTCATTGATTGAATTAAAATTGCTCAAAATGATGATTAAAATGATCATATGGCTATTTTTGTATTTTATATCTAATCTTAAAGTGGTATTTTCCAAGCGAACAGGGAATTTCTCAGGGTTCTCTTGAAGTTATGAACAAACGTTCTTCCAGTAACATTAATAAAATGTTCACTTAAAGTTGTCTGGTTTTTAATAACGTTCTCAAAATGTTATATCAAAAATATGACTTACATTGTTCATGTAATTTTGTTTTCTCATATGTTCATCTAATGTTTTTTTGAAACGTTATTACTTGTTTCAGAACATTCTCAAACATTTCCTTAATGTCTATAATGTTTGCATAAAAAAATATTGGATTTGTTAAACCTTCAGGAACATCCAGAAATAACGTTTTCATAACTTAATGTGAACGTTAGCAAAATGTTCTTAGAGCCTAATTTTTGTTAGCTGGGTTAAGTGTTATTTTAGTTTCGTTGAGATACTATTATAGTTTTTAATATTTTGAATTAGATTTTATGTTTATATTTTCCATTTTCAGTTC